GGCACCCCGGTTGGGAAACACTGTTCTAAATAATGCCGCGAGTGGGGCTTGAGGAAGTGACGTCGCCTGCGTCTGCACAGTGCGACCTGATGCAGCCCCTGAAGTGAGAGACAGGAAACAGAAATACTGCAAAATAATAATAATAACACGACTAAACGAGACGAAATAACGTTATAACATTTCGTTTCGTCTCGTTTTGGTCAACGAAAATGAAGAGACATTTTAGCATAGTTTTTATTTTGTAAACCACATTTAGTCTCGTTTTTATTCGTCAAAAATATTGCATTATACATTTAATTATAGTCATCGTCACATGACCAGCATTTACGTTGCGTCTCGTCTCGTTTTCGTCACGTGATAAAGGTTCGTTGACGACGATATTTAGTCATCATTTTCGTTGACGAAAGCAACACTAGTTTACAACTGTTCTCTAGTTGTGTTTCAGATATCAAAGTTTATTTTAGTAAATTCTGCTTTTGAACTCATTTTATGCCTGCATTAATAGTGCTACATCATCTCCAGTCTGTAATAAATCTTTATTCAGAATTCTCATTATGTTTATTCGAATGTAGTCTAGAGGCAACCTGAATATTAAATGCTCATAATGTCCTCACCTATCATGGGACAAACAAAGAGGGGGCATATTTATTCTACCTGCTGCTTGGGAGAGTGTGGTGGGGAACTATCCCAAATGAGAATCTCACACCTTTTAAATTGTGCAATTTGTAATTTCTCGGGGAAATAAAAATTAATACATTTGCAATTAAGATGGCCATCTAGCATAGACCGTATACCAGCCAACAAAGTCAGGCTTAAAAATAGTAAAAACACAGAATCTTTCATTAAGAGCTGATTCATTAACATCGAAATCATTAAATTATGACACGTTAAGTATGTCTTGTAAAATAATCTTTTCTTGAATTACTGAGGACGTTATTGGGTGTTTCATCAACTCTGTACACTTCACTTGTATGTCCCAGGGGTTTCATCAACAGATTTCATTTTGCTTTTTGTTATGTGAAGGTCACATTAAAACTCTGTAAACGTTTTTATTATTATATTTTGATACTTTTCAGTAGCCTTCTGTTCTATGTATAAATGTTATTGTTTTACCCTTGCCCTTGTTCAACTCTGAAACTACATGAAAATTCATCATGAAATACTAAAAATAATAATAAAATAATACGTTTGTTTTAATTATGATAATCTGAACAAAGTGTGAAATAATTCAAATCCATTTCAGTATTTAATGGGTAAACAATTATTGCAGTGACTAAAACTAATAAAAACTAAAATGACAGCTTCACACAAAGACTAGACTAAAACTAAAATTAAAACAGGCTGCCAAAAACAACACTAATTTTGAGTTGTCAAATTTTCTCTCCAACAAATGTATATTTTTATATAAAACATAATATAATATAATTTTGTTAAACTTTAACGTTTTTAATTTGAATGTGCATGAACTATGCAGTAATCTGTTAATAAAATATTTGGTTAATCACATTTATAATATTTATAATATTTTTAAGTGTCACCTTGTAGAAATACTTGGATCTCACTTTCTGACAGAAAGCGTATAGACAGTTTTATTTAAACTAACCAAAGCTTTGCCAAACACAAAGCTGACAAGAAAGGTGAAATAAATTATTGCTGAAGGAATGAGTAAGAAGCCCAGACAAAACCAATCAATTACCTGACCAATTCCATTTAGCAATTAGGAGGAGAGCACTGACACTTGTTTGCCTCAAAAGGCAACAAGACAATAGCTTCATTACAATAAATGAGTTTTTTATGTAAAATAAAAGATCCCTTGATGGAATGAGATCTTATTGTGCTTTCAAATGTGTCAAGATACTTTCGCCTAAACAAACAGGCTGTTTTTCCCCCCTCACTCATTATTGGTTGACTTGCTGTGTTTTTTAGCAAGTGCCCCCACCTCCCCTCGAGAAATGATGAGCTTGAAGGAGAGGAAGACAGACTATGAGTCAACTGGAACCAATTCTGGTTACCATGGAAACAAGGGCGAGCACACCTCCAGAAAAGACGCCATGGCAGGTAAGGGCGCAGAGGAAGGTTAAAGCTTCCATATATGACTGACAGACAAACCATCAAATAAAGGCAGTGAATTACATGAGAGAGTTGTAATTAGTGAAAGTAACAGTGTAACAGGTTTATTCCACAGAATAGTGTCTGATATTTCCCCTTTGCTTCTGTGTGAAGTCTTTTACCTCAACAAAAGTCATGAACTGTAATTCATATACCTGCACACCTGTTTCATGTCAACATTTTCTGTAGCAATAGAAATAGTCAAAGCACCTGCCAGTCCTCTGAGAATCTTTTTAATTCACTGTCTCTGTAGCCCAAATCTCCAGTGGAACATCTACACTGTTCAGAGGTGCTTACATGTCTCCTGGTGATGACATCAAGCATAACCAGGTGAGCTCACGACATCACACAGAGTTGTAACGTGTATCTTATCTTGACATTTTCATGTGTCAAAAAAGGGGGAAATGTTTGAACGTTTATTAAATGTTTTTTAAAGGCAACTGCTATAATTATTATAATATTAATATAACACTAACATAAAATATATCTGTATATCATTATTACATTATTAATATTTTTATAACTTTTTTGTTTAATATTATTTATATTTTTATAACTTGTTATAAAGAATACGTACCTTTAAGCAGGTTCCTGGGGTATTTAGAAAGATTTCAGTTTTGCAATTTTTGTTTTGCCAGTTGTTATACATGAAGGTTGCGCACAGTTAAGCAGGTTACTGGGGTATTTGGAAATATTTTGGTTTTGCTTTGTTTTTTGCTTTTTTTTTTTCAGATATTTTAAGTTTAAAATACGAGGTTATCAAGGGTTAAAGAAAAAAAAATGACAATTAAAAAACGGGATAGTTCCGGTCCTTGATTCTGATTGGCTGAGCCACGTTCGAAGCTGTAGTAAATTACTCTACAAACATATACCTTTGTTTACGTTTGTGTGTTGCTTGGCAACCACTTTGTTGCAACCACAACCGATTCTGAGGAACTACATTGTTTGTCGGAAGAATACTGTTTTTATGAATATCATTACACTTCATTTGCTCTGTTTTATTTTGTGAAACCTTACTACGTATATGGAATAACCATTTTACGCTTTGCGTCGTGCCTATCAACGCTCCTTAGCTGTTATAAATTCACTGTAAACCATGGCTTCTTGGAGCTTATTGCTTTATTAAGCCAATTAATCTTTGTAATCTAAATTTACAAAGAAAACTACAATTGTCTGGATGAAACTTGTAGAAGAATATATTTGCTATTTATTAAGTATAATTTTTACACCAAGTAGATGTTATATTAAAGTAGTGAATTATATTAATCATAGTATAAAATAATCCAGTATATTATGAGTTAAAATGAACACATTTCTGGTTTGGTGTGGATGAAGTACATGGATGAGTTTTTTTGATGGCGCTGTGGGGGTACCTAAGCCGAAAAACGTTGGGAAACACTGGTTTAGATGAAGCACCTTTTATATAACATACATTCATTGCCTTTTAACTTTATTACATGGAAAGCACTTGATTTGAATTGTAAATTAGATTCTTAGTTTCTGAACTACCACATAACACATTTATGTCACTTCCCAAAGCGGCCCTTACGCTCTAATTGTTTTCGTCAGGTCTCGGCTCAAGGCAACCCTCCAGAGGCCTACCCTCCCTTCCAGACTCCCCCAGGAGCCAACTTCGAGGAGCCGTACTACGAGGACCAAGCGCATACACGCCCCCCACCCGCCGCTGACGGCACCATGCATCTGGGACTGAAGTCCACGGGGAACTACGTGGACTTTTATTCGGCATCCCGCCCGTACAGTGAACTCAACTATGAGACGAGCCACTACCCTGCCTCGCCGGACTCCTGGGTGTAGAGGCACAGAGGCAGGCTGGAGGCTGGCCTATGGACACCATTACACAGGGACCAGCCCAGCATGTGCATGAACACTAGTAGACATCTCACACACGTAAACCTTCTGTTCGGTTCACTGCTCGCACCACAGTGGGCTGCCACTCGGCCGATGAGCGAGGTTAGGAAAGTGCTTGAAGAGAGAGGATTTAGGAGGGAAGCTCATGTGTTTTACAGAAAGGACCACTTGAACTTTGGTGTTTTTGCAAAGCGGTGGAGGGAATCGACATGTAAATGAGAAAGTGGAAAATATGTGGCACAGAGATGGGACAGTTACGTGAAGCACAAGAAAACGACATTTGACACAAGCTAAGGAAGTAGTTTTCACACATTTTTGACATTTCTTTATGTTAAACCATGCTTTTTATGGAGTGCTCCGTTACACTCTTAGCCTTTCTATCTTTTTTCGGTTTCTTTTTATTATTTGCTTGTTTTTGTACCTCCTTTTTAACTTCTTAAGTCCGGTGTAAAGTACTTGTTGTATATTACAGATGTAGATACAAGGTGCGTTGTGTATATTACGCAGAGACTACTGTGTCCTCCCATGTGGCTCAATATATCATTTTATTTTCCTGTATTTTAAAAGAGAGGAAAATACACTCACTGAACTCCAGTGTCCTGTTCGATGGGTAAGAAATGCAACAGAAAGCATATTAAGAAGTGTCGTTTGCTTTAATGTGTCCCCCCCCCCATTTTCTGCCCGGGGGA